TAAGTATGATAAATAATAGATGTTTATATTTTCTATAGAGCGTTCAAAATACAGAACTATTGAAATAGGTGTATCGTTTCCGACACGCGCTGTACGCCGTAGACCAATCACAACAGGCTAGGCCATCTGACCAATCAGAGCAGAGCAGGCTGGAGGGGTTTTAGAGAGACTGAATCTTTGAACTGCTTCAAACGAATCGTTTGAGAATCAAAAATGAGGTGATATTAAATGCATATTTTGAGAAAACGAAAGCGCATCTGTGCATATAGACATGAATCACTCAAGAGAAATCAAACACGGATCAATATGAATCTTGGTTAGATTTGACACAGATGATCTAACATTATTTCGCTCTGCTTTCTGTTTTGAAATGCATTAAAAGTATATGAAATTAATCTGTTCCCTTTAAACTCTACTGTGTACTGGGAGTTCAATCTGTTTGTAGTCTGCAATATAGTGTAGTATACATAAAGTAGGCCTATATAGTTGTTATTTTTTATATACACTGCCGTTCAAAAGTTTGGGGTCAGTAAGATTTTTAATGTTTTTTAATGGAGTCTCTGATGCTCATCAAGGCTGTATTTATTTGTTCAAAAATACAGCAACCTCCCCCCCCACCTCTTATATTTTTTAATGACAACAAACCTTCGAAAACATCCTCATATCTATTTGAAATGAGCTCGGTGCATCTTTATTTTCACAGAAGGAAACTGGCCTGAAATGTACGGTTTCCACACACTCACTGATAAATCTCACTGGACAAACTGAATGAGCGCAGCTTTAAAACACTAAACCGCATCCTCAGTCAAGCGGCTCTGAATTAGTTCTGAAGACTAAAAGCTTTGAGCTTGAGTCCGGACTCTGGAGCAGGTTGCTCTCCAGTGAATTAAATATAATCAAACTGTTGTGATGAACTGACGTAATAAAGAAATAAAAGCTCAGACCTTCTTCAGCATCTCTCATCCTCTGCGCGGACACACTGTCCTGGCCTGAGGTTTGCAGCAGCAGCCCGCAGAAGGCCTTCATCACGGGGTGAGACTGGCTCACCTCAATCTTCAGGTAATGAGCGTAGCAGCGGTATCCTGCAGAGAGAAGCGCAAACACAGAAGAGACAATCTACATACAAATGACAATCACATCCAACATCTGACACGACAGAGGGAAGCACTTTTATCAGACACATCAGTATATAACAGACGTACAGTCACATTTGATATTTCGATTTGTAGAACTAAAAATCTGGCCTAGATCTGAATGGATGAGTCTTGTTTGATACCACTGCTATAATATAATAAATTTTATATAATATAATATAATATAATATTAAAAAAGTGAATAAAATATAAACTATTTAGATATTTTATATAATTAAAATATTTTAATATTTTAAAATATCTCAAATATCTTGTCAAATATAAGAACAAATATTAAAAACTGATGATATACATTACAGGTACTATAAATGAGTGCACTCATTTTGAGCAGGGAGTCTGAATGTAAATGTGTCGCTCTGTAAAGCAGTACCTGGGTCAAACGGCTCAACGTTGCGGTTGAGAAGGCTGATATCCAAGCGTCCTAAGTGGACTATGTTGAAAAGGGCAGTGGTGACTATCCTCCAAATGCCCACTATAACACCAACCATGACATTAACTAGGAACAGCATGTAGCTGAGAAGAAACAGACTTCCTCTGTGGAGAAAAAAAAAACAGTTTGAAACAGTTTGATTCTTCATACAGGCTTAAGGATGTATATATACACTGGGTTACACTTTATTTTAAGGCGTCCTTGTTACAGTGTAATTCTACATTTAAGTACTGAGTAATATGAATTAACTACATGTACTTACTATATGGTTAGGGTTAGGTTAAGGGTTTGGCGTAAGGTTACTTGCATGTAATTATGCATAATTTATTGTTATCATAATAGTAAGTATATGTAACGTGTAACAAGGACACCTTAAAATAAAGTGTTACCATACAGTGCATTACTAAAATAAAACAGTAGATACTCATTTATGTATAAATAATACTACACATAATAAACATAACTGGTAAACACAATAAATGAATAAACTATGATATAATATATAATAATATACATAAAATGTTATATTATTGAACAACAACAAAAAATAATGAATGAAATATTAAACACAAAATAATTAATTAGAAAATAAATATTTACATATATAATATAAATGTATTTATTTATTTAAATATTAAAAACAACACAAAATCCACCCTATTAACTTTCTTAATAATTGTTCCTGGTCATATTTCATCAAAATAAAATACCTTTCCCATCTATGGTGGATTTTTATTGTCTGCTGATGTAAGTATAAATAATTTGAGTATAAATAATAATATTATATATTTTTTAATAAATAAAAAAGATCATAGAAATGGCAAAAATGACGCCAATAGTTATTAAATAAAAATACATATACAATATAATATTTATTTATTTATTTAAAACAGTGTGAAATTCACCCTATTCACTTTTCTTAATAAATGTGATTTTATATAATAACATATTTAATTTGATTTAATTATATATTTAATCTTAATATATTTACAATAATTTATATAATATTTAATTTGACAGACAGATAGACAGACAGACAGACAGAGACAGACAGACAGACAGATAGATACATAGACAGACAGACAGACAGACACATAGACAGACAGACAGACAGACAGACACATAGACAGACAGACAGACAGACAGAGATAGACAGATAGATAGATAGATAGATAGATTTATAGATAGATAGATACATAGACAGACAGACAGACAGACAGATAGATACAGACAGACAGACAGACAGATAGATAGATAGATACATAGACAGACAGACAGACAGACAGATAGATACAGACAGACAGACAGACAGATAGATAATGTAATTGTAAAAATGTTATTTAGAACAACGGTGTTGCAAAAATAAAATGGTTTACCGTTTAATATCTGAAAAGTCTGTTAATATGAAATTCTTAAGAACTGCTTCATAAGTTTCATAAGACAGGTGTTTATTGTTGGCCAATCTTTCATGGCCTATTCCAGATGGTGAATGTACACCAACATTAAAAGCAACAGCCAGTGAGAGGTAATATTATGTATAACTGGCACCTGTTGTTCAGATCTCTTGTTCCTGCGTCCTTCTTAACGAACAAAAACCTGGAGGTCAGATGCTGGATCAGCACAGCCAGGAACAGCATCAGCCAGAAGGGCCTTCAGAAGAGAACATGAGAGTGAGAAGCATCTTAAGAGGCACTTCTCTAAATGCTGGGCTTCATGGCTCATGAGGAGAGATGACTGATAGGAGGCTTTAGCTGAGATTCGGGGTCACGGGGTCACGACCCTGCAGCCACGCTCATCATCTAAAGTGAGGAGAGCCAAGCCACTCACCACATGCTGCCGATAATGTGGAACAGCATGAGATTGGTGCCATACAGGATGGGGATGATGACGAGGAAGACAGCGAACAGAATGCAGATGAAGAACACCAGAGTCTGGATCACCATGCCTGGACACAGACACAATCACACATGCAGGAGTAATCAAATATGCTCATAGTCACGTTTACACTTGAGAAAAACTGTATATTATTATATTATTCCATATTAATGTTATATTATTCCATATTATTTAATTGTTATAAAAAAAACAATAAATGACATAATGAAATGATTTTTTTTTTAAATCAAACAACAAAAAGAAATGTATTTAAATATAATATAAAGTATTTATTTATTTAAATATAAAAAGCACCCTGTAAATATTATATTTTTTAAATAGAAAAAAATCAAATAAAACATTAAAAAATAAAAATGAATATTTATATTCATATTCATAGAAATAGAAAAAATAAAATGAAAACAACAATATAATATAATATAATATAATAAACTATAATATAATAATATTTATTTATTTACTTACTTACAAACAGCACAAAATCCATCGTTTACTTTCTCAAATGTTCCTGAAAGTTCATCACTGCACATTGTTCTAAAGATGTTTTTTTAATCAAAACACAACTTTCTCCATCTATGATGGATTTTTATTGTCTGCTTATTGTCTGTTGATGTACTAACTGTAAATTATAATAATACATTTTAATATATTTTATAATATATTTAAACAATATCATTATAATACAATAATTTATTTTAAAGATATAAATAAAAATAACTGAACAACAAAATAATTAATAAACAAATAAATATTTCAATAAATATAAAAAAAGTAATAATTAAATAAATATCAATACATATTTATTTTATTATTTTTTTAAAAAACAGAACAAACTCCATCCTATTTACTTTTTTAATAAATGTCTTGGATTTTTTTTTTTCATAAATGCACATTATTCTAAAGATTTTTTTTTTTTATCACAACAATAATCTCCATCTATGATGGATTTCTATTGTGCACTAATGTATTACTCCATGTATGGAGGGAAAATTCCATAAGAAAAAAAATCCAGAATGATCCAGAAATGTGCTCCGCTACATTTAATGAAAAATTAGCTCATTAATCGTTAAAAAATTGTTTGTCAGTTAAAATTTTGTTTGTTCCAGTACACAAATTCAGGCTTCATTTAGCAGGTAAAACCGTTTCAGATTGTCTTTCTCACACGTTTGCACTACAATGCAAAGGGTTCTGTCGTGAGAATGAGGGGCTTCTCGAACAGAAGAGAAGAAGCGTGCTCTCACCGAGACAGATGAAGGAGGCCTGATAGCTGGTGAAGCCCATCCAGCAGACCAGCGCGGGCCGGGACGGTCGGATGCTCCTGTGGCAGTTATACACATTAAAGACATCTCCTCTGTACAGTCCCTTCAGATTAGACCTGAGTGAACACAGACACAGCCTTCAGTGCGCTAACACACACACACACATGCACAGACACACACACACACGCACACACACGCACACACACATGCACACACACACACACTCACAGCGTCTGTGGAAATACAGGTAATGAGGGCGTATCTTTATGAAAAAGAAACTGAGATGAAACTGCAATGTCACAGAGTCAAACTGCCATTAATGACATTTAAAAACTCAATTTGAAAAGTCATTATTTTTAATATGCTATTCCTGACTGTAATTACCTCGTTCTCATTTTTCCTGTTTCACCTCCAGCTAGTCAGTTATGATAAAAGTTATTAGTAATGCATTCACATTTGTGCATGAAGTCAGGAGGCACGGTAGTTATGACCAATAAAAAGGATGAAATATCAGCAAATCTTAGGGAAAACTCGGGGAAGTTACTGACGTATTGGAGTTATCCATATTTTCTGTTTTTATTTTTATTTTAAAGTTTTAATTTTATTATGTGTTTTTGTCATTTTAAAACGAAAAAAGCTGTCCAGACCTACCTGGCCCTACGTGAAAAATTAACTGCCCCCTCCTGTTAAATCATGAAAGAACTGTGATTAACCACATTATTTTAGAAAGCTGAGTTAAATTTCACTAGCCACACGCTGGCCTGATTACTGCAGACCTGTTGAATCAATAAATCACTTAAATAGAACCTGCCTGACAAAGTGAAGCATGCTTAAAGACACATTAAAGCATGCAACACATCATGCCGCGATCTAAAGAAATTCAAGGACAGATGAGAAACACAATAGTTGACATCTATCAGTCTGGAAAGGGTTATAAAGCCACTTCTAAGGCTTTGGGACTCCAGTGAACCTCGGTCAGAGCCATTATCCACAAATGGAGGAAACTTGGAACAGTGGTGAACCTTCCCAGGGGTGTCCAGCCTACCAAAATTACTCCAAGAGCGCAACGACGATTCATCCAGGAGGTAATAAAAGAACCCAGAACAACATCTAAACAACTGCAGGCCTCACTTGCCTCAATTAAGGTCAACGTTCATGATTCAACAATAAGAAAGAGACTGGG